ATACGAGTATATATATATATATATAAGTTATTTACCAGTCTATAAAGAAGATGAAGCCCATTGAGCACTTTTTCACTGCGACTCATGTTTATCAGTTAAAAGTATTATATTTCATTTGCCCTTTCCTTTGCAGTGTATAACCTATTTTTAAAACTGTCTCGATTCAGAACTCAATCCACGAAGATCTATCCGTACTCGGTTTCCTCGCAAATAAAATTATTTGACTTTTACTAGCAAAATAAAGCATTACATACGTACGAGCGATGAAATACCTATTTACACTAAATCTAGATATCCTGAAATTCACAGAAAGAAGGTACAAAAGCAAATTCAGTCAATGCTTGATCAGAAAATTATTAGAGAAAGTTTTTCAGCGTGGTCATCACCGATCTGGTTTATACCGAAAAAATTAGATACTTCTGGTCAAAAAAAGTGTAGAATAGTCATAGACTATAGAAAGTTGAACGAAAAAGTTTTTCAGCATGGTCATCACCGATCTGGGTTATACCGAAAAAATTAGATGCTTCTGGTCAAAAAAAGTGGAGAATAGTCATAGACTATAGAAAGTTGAACGAAAAAACCTTAGGAGATCGTTACCCCCTTCCGAACATAACAGATTTATTAGATAAATTAGGGCGAAGCCAATATTTCTCAACACTAGAGTTAGCTTCAGGTTTCCACCAGATAGAGATGGCGGAAGAAGATATTCAAAAATCTACTTCTAACATAGAAAACGGACATTACGAGTTTACACGAATGCCGTTTAGCTTAAAAAACGCACCGGCAACTTTTCAGCGCGTAATGGACAATATTTTAAGAGGAATTAAAAATGAAAAATGCTTAGTGTATTTAGACGACATTATAATATTCAGTACAAGCTTGCAAGAACATATATCTAGACTTAGGGAAGTTTTCGAACGATTGCGTCAATCGAATTTTAAAATACAATTAGATAAATCGGAATTTCTTAGAAAAGAAGTTTCATTTTTAGGGCATGTTATAACAACGGATAGTGTTAAGCCAAACCCCGAAAAAATTAGAGCAATCAAAGAATTTAAAATACCAAAAACTAAGAAGCAGATCAAAGGCTTTTTTGGACTGTTATGTTATTACCGAAAATTTATAAAAGATTTTGCAAAGATTACGAAGCCACTGACTATCAGATTAAAAAAGGATGCAATTATTAATCTCACGGATCCAGATTATGCAAAATATTTTGAATTTTGTAAAACTTTATTGACAAATGATTCTATTCTTCAATATCCAGATTTTTCTAAACCATTTTTAATTACCACAGGGAAAATTAGGTTCAGACTTGCCAATAGCATACGCCTCAAGAACTTTAAGTACAAGTACAAAGTACAGTACGACAGAAAAAGAACTATTAGCGATTGTATATATATTTACCATTTTAACCGATCATAAAAGCCTGCAATGGTTATTTTCAGTCAAAGACGCAAGTTCAAAATTACTAAGATGGCGCGTAAGACTAGAAGAACACGACTTGACATCGTATATAGGAAAGGTAAAGCTAACGCAAATGCGGACTTTTTGTCTAGAATAGAAGTAAATGTTAATGAAACAGGAGCACCAACTCCACTTGCACAATACATGAAAGAGTTCAACGAAAATTTTGAAAATCAACCAAGTCCATCGAATATTTCAAATATTCCCAAACAACCGATGATCATTCGATAGTACCTCAACCCAATGATCTAGATAAAATTGATGAAAACGATAATATTTCATCAGGACACACTGTCCATTCAAATAATGAAAACCCCACTATTGAGATCCCAATCAGCGATGTAGCAGTAAATTATGGAAAAAATCAAATTATTATTTCTGAAGTAAATTTCGAACCAGTTGATCCAGTAATTATTAAGTTACATACGAACAAGCAGCGAATTTCTATTCAACTGTCAAAAAATAATTTTGAAGCAGATACTGTTATATTTGTGAAAAAATTCATTGTACCAAAGGTCAAATATTGTTTATATTTTGAAGATCCAATTTACGAAAAATTCAGCGAAGTTATTCAGACATATTATAAAAATTCTCAGATCAATCTAGTATGATGTACAAAAAAGTTGATAGACGTCACAGACCCAAATGAGATTGTTGAAATAATTAGAAATTACCATGAAGGTAAAACAAATCATCGGGGATTCGATGCAACCGATAAAAGAATAAGACAAGTATATTATTGGCCAAATCTAAGAAATTCGATAAAAACTTATATTAACCAATGCGAAATCTGTCAATTAACAAAATATGACAGACACCCTCTAATGCTTCAATATAATGTTACCCCAACTCCCACTAGACCATTTCAAATTTTATGCGTAGACCCAATTTCCTTGGAAAACGTAAAATCTTTGACGATGACCGATTCATTTTCAAAGTACGGTCAAGCTTATGTATTGAACTCCGCCCAAGGAATAGAAGTAGCGAATAATTTCATAAAATATTTTACACATAATGGTGTACCTGAGCAGATAATCTTTGATAATGGTACAGAATTAAAAAATTCAGTAGTTACCGAACTCTTAGAAGTGCATAAAGTTAAAATTCATTTCATTAATTCACAGCATCCCGAATCGAACGGAACTGTGGATTGTTTCCCCTCAACCTTAATAGAACATGTAAGACTTTTGAATAACCAAAAAGAATATAAGAATGAGCCTATAGAAATTACGCTATATCAGTTTATAATAATACCATACACTCTGTAACGAATCTTAAACCGTATGAAGTTATTACAGGGCATTTCAATACCGAATCACCTTTTAATATAAATGTAGATAAGCAATTGATGAACAATTATTTGCAAAATCACAAAGAAAAAATGAAATCAGTATATAGGAATTTGAATGAAAGGTTATTAAGAAATAAAGAAAAGGTTATAAATAACGCGAACGAGAAACGCGGAGTGTTGCCTGCTATTCCTACCAAGTTATATGTTAAGAATAAACAAAAGCAACAGAAACTTAAAATTAAGTATAAGAAAGAAAAAAATATTCATTTATCTAATATTAAGAGACCTAAGAAGAAAACGTATCAATTCAAATTTACTAATATTTCAGATTTTTCTTCTGTTTCGGACATGGAGCAGAAATAAGGAATATAAGCAGTAATTTAGGAATTTTGCCGATAAGCTTAGGAACAGCTAGGTTGCAAAAGACGAAACACACTTTTGTGCACTATTATGATTTATCCCCTTTATACAAAGAATATGAAGACTTGAATCTTCAACTCAGTAACCTAAGATATAGCTATAGAAATTATTCCAGAATTAATCAGGAGCATGATAACTATGATAAGGTAGTGTCTTATATAAAGAGCTTGATTCAAGAGACAATCGAATACATTAAATTTCATTCACAAAAATCTCGTTCAATGGGACCATTCAAGATATACAGCATAATGAAGTGGTCCTTGGAAACAATATTTTACAATTAAAACATATTTTGTTGAACCAGACAACACATCAAGATATACTTTCAGCAGAGGAAATTATCAATCAATTAAATATCCTCCATAACGCAATATTGAATATTTTACAAGATATTGAAAATTCCATAACTTTTTGCAAATTGAAAATAATTCATCCTAGTGTCATAAAGACTACCGATGTATTCCAAGCACTTCTTAAGATATCCAAATTTTATAAAAATCAGATGCCATTTGAAGTAAAATATGAAAATATGTTAGATTACGAATCCATAATTTCAATTAGTTGTAAGATTGATGAGAATCAGATAAGTTATTTTCTATCTATTCCTATAGATTATCCTGAGCATTTTGATCTTTACTATATGTTAACGATGCCGACTATGATGCACAAATCAGAATTTGTTACTATTATCCCAAATTTTAAGTATTTGCTAAAGTCCGATCAAAGTGAGATTAAACCTCTGCATGAGATTTGTACCCAAGGTAAAATCTACCAATGTCCTAATCGTATATTAGCTAATCATAAAGCGCAGTGTGAGAAAACAGTAATCACAGAAGATGATGTGGAGCCATGTCAGTACACTAAGCTTCAAATTGAAGGAAACCATATAGAACTTATCCCAGAGATTAATCAATATCTAGTAGTATGAACACTCAAGAAGCAGTTCCAGTTAGAAATGGACGTTGAACTAGCTGATATGAAAAAAGGTCCAAGTCCCACACGTCCTACGAGAAATAAGAAGAACGAAATTCACCTTCCAGGAGTAGCTTCATTTTAGGGGTGGAGGAGTTATGTAGGTACCAGTCTATAAAGAAGATGAAGACCATTCAGCACTTTTTCACTGCGATTCATGTTTATCAGTTAAAAGTATTATATTTCATTTGTCCTTTCCTTTGCATTGTATGCCGTATTTTTAAAACAGTCTCGATTCAGAACTCAATCCACGAAGATCTATCTGTACTCGGTTTCCTCGCAAATAAAATTTTTGAAAAGACTTTCGGAAAGAAAAGTTATTTAAGTTATATATATATATACATACTGTGTCTTAGAACTTTGTATTATACATTGATGACATAGAAATTATAATAAAAGACGAGTTGATGCTTGAATGGAATAGTCAAAAGTTATAGCTATGTTTCATAAAGGTAAAATATCAAGAATCAAACGAAAAGGAATAATAATTGGTAAATTAGCGTGAAGTGTAAAATTTAAGTCGTCTGAAGCCTCAACATAGTCTCCACTTCTCGTTCAAATCTCAAAATTGACAGGCCTTTAATTCAGGCAGCGAGTTGTAAACCCTAACTATATCACATGAAAATAAGCATTTATAACTGGATGTGAATTTAGTTAGCTAGAGATGATGTTTGAATCTCATGTTACGACTATACACTTCGGTACGGGTCTTGATATTCTTGTCAAGATAGGTATAGTAAAGCTCGCTACCGACGATGCGCAGTTCGTGATTCGTTATCCGCGATGCGTGATTCGTAGAGTTCGTTGTAGTTCATGTAATTGACAAACAGAGCATACAGACTGTGCGTTATTCACGATTCGTGATACGTTGGTGCGTTGGTTCATGGTTCGTTCACAGCAGTTCGCAAAAATGGAGAGTGATGATGATCTGGCTACAGCTTGTGCTATTTATATAATCTTAGCGCAAAATAAAAAGAAGTTAAATAAACGAAAAAAACGCAGATGGTGGAGTGTATCATTATTCAGACATAGAGACAGGTAATAGTTAAGATCATACGATTCATTTTCTAGAGTCAGTTGTATATACGAATGAAATCAGCTAATTTATAGATTTAGGTTATTATACAATTTTTATTTACAGATATAATGGCAATGATCTGCTAAATGATTTATCAATAGAATGCTATGGTAAATTTGAAAATTTTTGTCGGATGGTATCTGCAGATTCCGAAATTCTGCTGCAATTAATAGGCCCATGTATAACTACACAGACCACTAACATGAGGCGTACCATTTCTGCTAAAGAAAGATTAGCTGTAACTTGATGATTCCTTGCTTCTGGAGACAGCTATCACAGTCTGAGTTATTTATTTAAAATCTCACTGCAGCTCATATCCTCCATCGCGATTGAAGTATGTAAAGCACTAAAAATGGCACTTCGAGACCAAGTAAAGGTGTTTTTTTATACATTTATGTACTTTAAGATTCATAAAAATGTATATATTAACGATATTGCAAAAAATGTGCCTAGATCAGGGTGCTTTGCGTAGTTCATATAAATATTTTAAAGAAGTAAGGAAATTATATTAAAAAAAATTATTAATTTTCATTTATTTACATCATTAACAAGACTTTTATAAAATTCAACAAGTTTAGGTGTGCTAGTAGATGACTGCAACATTTCTATTTCATCCGAATGTTGTGAGTGTGTTTGTGACTGTGTGTTATCAGATTGGGATGTAATAATCAGTGGTTGTAAACATTGAGGAGGAAGGGGCAATGATGGTGAAGATTGAGGTGATTCTACAAGAAATGTTGGGGAGGGGGATGATGAAGGAGAAGCGAAAGGGGAAAATGATTCTGATTGAAGCATGAAATGAGGGCGAATTCATGCTCGAAACTATTTATATCGTTCATCGCATGTTGTCGAGTGATGCGGTCCATGTTTTTGAGCTTAGCAGCAATTAAATTTCCAAAAGCAATGCATTCGTCAATTTTTTTTCTCGCATCTCTGAAGATATTGAAATGCCATTTCCGCTCTTTCATCAGAATCATTTGTAAACTTTTTTTTCTTTTTTGATGGTAATTGCTTTGGTGAAACAAATTCCTTTTTTTTAACTGTGCTCGGTTATCAGGAGCCACATCTTGTTCTCCGTTAGCTTCAGTTGTCTGTGTCTGTGTGTCTGTGTATCGACCGTATCTGCATTTTCTGGAGACTCGGGAATAATAGAGGCATCGTTGTCCCTATCATCATCATTAGATTTCGCTTCATTTGCCTGAAAATTAATAAATAAATTCATTACTTCTGTCTTTAACAATGATTTAATTTGTAACAGTTGTAATTGTTGTAAGGAACGGTATAGTCAAAATCCCTTTCAACTGGTGGGACAAAATGATATGAAATGATATGAAAGTAATTATACAGGGGGATTCATGACGATATGTTCATCTGATTGACTTTTTCAAACGCCACTTAAAAGGGTTTTGACTATATAAATATATTCCTAATAATAAAGGTTTAAATCTTTTTAGTTTTTAACATTACTTTCAGATTCCTGCGACTTCTGCAGAATGGAAAAAAATGCAGATTTATTCGAAGACAGACGGAATTTTCCAAATTGTGTTGGTGCTATAGATGGGAAACATGTAGTGATAATGGCTCCTATAAATAGTGGTAGTGAATATATAAATTACAAGGGAACATTTAGTATAGTACTAATGGCTTTGTGTGATGCGGATTACAATGTAATATACAGTAATATTGGCTCACAAAATCGAATATCAGATGGAGGTGTATTCAATGAATGTTCTTTGTATGAGGCGTTGGAAAATAAGACCTTAACTCTACCTTCGGACAAACCACTGCCTAGGAGAGCAAAGCCTGTGCCCTATGTTATTGTTGGCGACAACGCATTCCCTTTAAAAGATTACCTCATGGATCCATATGGTGCAAATCATCACAATAACACACCAGAGCGTATATTCAACTATAGACTTTCTAGAGCCCGCAGAATAATTGAAAATGTATTTGGAATTATGTCTGCAGTATTTTGAGTTTTACGAGAACCAATTTTATTAAATCAAGTTAAAGCTTAATTGATTACGGAATGCTGTGTATTGCTACATAATTTTCTAAGAAGAAGCAGAAACTCGAGAAATATGTACACACCTCCGGGTACATTTGATAGAGAAGAAAATGGAACAATTGTCAATGGTTCTTGGAGGAATGAAACACAACCACCAACATCACTTTTGTCACTACAAAGAAGGGGCAGAAGAACATGCTCAGACGTGAGGAAAATTCGCGACGAATTTTCTGAATATTTCGTTACAAACGGCAAAGTTCCGTGGCAGGACAAGTACCAATAATGATATAAAAATTATAATTTAAAAAGTAGTAGCAATAACATTTTTTTAAAAAATACATGTACTTACCATTGTGTCTGTTACTCCATGCGGTGTATAAATATCTTTCATAAATTTATTGAGCGCTTCAAGAGCAAATCAAACTGGTTTGTAAACATCGCTTGTTCCGGCTCCTGACTTTATACTATTATTTACTTTCCGACAACACTTTGCAACAAATGATCATACTTCCTTATAATTTCTTCGGGAGTCACTCCAAGCTTGTTTCCCAACGATTTAAAGGCATCACTTTTTTTATTTCTATTTTTTTTGTCTTTGTCTTTCGGGTCCCACAAATGACGTCGTTGTTCGATTTCATAAATTAAATCCAGAACAAGTTCATCAGACCACTGGAATTCCCGGCCATTGCTTTTGATTATTAAACCACATGTAAACATAACCTATAATACACAATAATAATACAGAAATACACCCTCGTGATCATGGCGTTGGGCACACGAATTAACGCACATCGACTGAGCGGCTTCCTGATCGTCAACGAATCAGCAGTTCGTGGTGATTCGCAGCCTCTGATTTCGTCGATTTACTGCTCTCAAGAGCGAATCACTGTGAACCGTTGCGAACCCGGTTCACGAATCGATTTTTAACGAACCAAATCCCTACACACGATGGGCGAATTAACGAATCGCACATAACGAATCACGAACCGCGCATCGTCTGTAGCGAGCTTAAGGATCGATGAAGGAACCTTCTTTTTTCTATATTGAGCCAACCTAAGTTCTTTAAGTGAAGAGATGCCGACTGCCGCCTTCTATTACCACTAAAAAACCTGCCACAGGAATTTTGAATACGCTGAGGTGAGAAAGAACTAAATACTCGCACAATATCATTTTTGTTGACTTGGTTAGTATGCTTTTGCTGTTGTATGGCAGTTTTAAAGATGAAATGGCTCTTTTGGTTAAAAGAGAGACATATGAAAGTTATTTTGTCTTGCCCGAAATAAATGACCAAATCATTGGAGCATAGTTCACGAATCTTGAATGAGTTTCTATTCGACCATAATAAAACCAATTGAAAACCACTATATTCACTACCAGGCAATGATGCATACAAATATTTTTTAAATTCTCCTTAACATGGTGCTTTGAAATGTCTTGCCCTCTGTATAAGTATAAAACGATAGGTCGTAATGAAAGCCGGTTTACCGAGGACATAATCAGTGAGGCCCAGGAACTCAAAAAATATTTTCCTATATGTTCAGATTGACAGTGATTTCAAAGAATACTACAACGAAAAAAAAAAGGACAAACTACCATAAGTATTAGACAAGGAAAGATTTTATTCTATAAAAGAAAAGGAAAATTCAAATAATAAACGTCAGGAAGCGTGGAATATAATAAGGTTTGAGCTTGCTAGAAATGAAGACCAAAACCAGCTGATCACTCTCAACGTTGGTGGTAATCTGAAATCGTCAGCTGATGTTTTGCAAGTTCTTTGCTGAATGCTAATTTCTCGAGTATTGTAAATAACGCAGTTATTCAGAACATTGGTCATATGTCTTTGCCTTTTACTACATCCAAGGACATCAACATAAGGCATCAATTCATCAATGAACCCATCTCCGCGAAGTACTACGAGTAGAAACCATCGCGGCATTAAAAAATAAAAAGTCTTCAGAGCTTGACGGGTTGCGTTTAAAAACCCTCAACTATGTACTCGATGTGCTCATGGTACATATTTTTTTCTGTTTGATCTGTCACTTTTGCTTTTGGCACGCTCCGGTACGGGTATTATGTAAAGAACCTTTAAAATGTTATCTTGCCGACCAGGTAGTTTTTAATGTGCAAACAGTCATTCCATGTTTGCTCACTAGGATCGTTGTGAGCGTCGATCTATGGAGGAATGGCTCAATAACACGCATTGTTGGTTGCTTATGTTTTGCGAAGCCAAGTAGTCTATAGTTTTCATCTCTGTGAAGAAAGTTGGTTGGATAGCAAGATCGCATCTGGATGATTGTGTGTATTGGTCTGCATGTGTATAAAATCAGTGATATTTGGTGTGTGAGAAAATGATTACTGAATATGCTGCAAATGAAGTACATCTATTAGCTGTGCCCGACGGGTTATTTATGTCCTTTCTGAAGACAGGTTATGTTCAAAGTTATAAATTACGATATTTCCCGTTTTTTGTGTTTTCAAAAACTTTGAGGAGAATTACGGGAAATCACCACTATGCCCGCGTTGTGTGTAACTCTCTTAGCATGTATATGACTTATAATTCGACAGTGCACAGTAAATATAATAATTTTTTATCTGTCTCATTTTTAAAATTCAGCAAATTTGCATATGTAACGACCAGAATGGATAAGAAAAAATGGATGCGCAGATAATTCCTAGCGTTGAATCTCAGGTAAGTATATTTGACACAAGGATCCAAAGGAATCAACTCATATCCTCACTATGCTCCTATCCATTGCCGTTACCTCCAGTAATGCCATCTCTGGAGCAGAAGTTAACATCTTGTAGAAAAACGTACATAATGTCACAGACAATGTCTGTAAGAAGTTAAACACCGTCTTTTATGCTCTAAATCAGCTAAAGAACTGCCTTGATGGAGATGGTCTGAATAATGTGTATTATGCCCTGGCCTATTAACATATGTCGCTCAATATTTTGAGCTGGGACAAAAGCAGTGCATGTATCCGTGTGTTCATCTCTCAGAAGCAAATAGTCCGACTACTGTCTAATCTCACCCCTAGAGAGTCTTGTAAACAGATATTTATCAGAGAGCGTGTATTATCTCTACCATGTATTTACATATTACACTGCCTTATGTACGTTAAGTAGCAGTGGCAGGAATTAGAGACCTATACTACTCGCCTTAATCTCAACACGAGGCATCGCAATTTATTACAAACACCAGTGCACCGGACAGTCAAATTAATTAAGATTAGATTCATATTTGATTCTTTAAAAGCGTTATATATTTGAATTGAGTGTTATTAGCATAATAGTGATATGAGACGTATTTAGAATTTTTGTGCTGCTAAGAAGTGTACCTATATAACATAGTGTACAAGAGTGGACCTAAAACCCCTTTGGTACACCTCGATAAACGTTAGATAATTCGGATCACCAAAACATTTGGCAACTTGTACCCGAGATAATTTCTTATAAAATGAAGGGCACTGTTTGATAAACCCAAGTAGCATAGAACAGCAATCAGCAGATCATGGTTTATCTTATCAAAAGCCCTCGAGAAATCTAGTAAGATTGAGATGCATAGATTGCCATCATCAATGTATTTGCAGATATCATCTGTTACGTTGAGCAAGGCCGTTGTGCAGCTGTGATCTGATCTGAACCTCGATGGATTTTCTAGAAGAATGTCATTTATAGCAACAAAGTTCCTCATTATAGCATCCAGAATTATTTCGAAGACTTTTGGTAGAGTACATACGATGCTGATGGTCGAAGGCCCCCACATCTTCAGAATTGCTCTTTTTTGGTATGGAAATTACTTGTGCAAGCTTCCAAATTTTGGGTATTACATTGAATTTTAGACAACAAGTAAAAATATGTGTAAGATATGGCGAAATTGTAGGGCAGCTGTCCAGCAGCGTGCTGGTGCTTATGCCGTCGGCACCAATGGCTGTTGATTTCACTGAAAGCAACTTTTTATGTATATACGTATACTTCATTGTCATTGGTGCATGAAAACTCACATACTTCATGAGGGAGCTGCATGTCGTTGAAGAATCGAAAAGTGTACTGATCATGTTTATTATTATCCCCCGAGACTAATTGCATGAATAAAGTATTAATTTGACTTACAGTTCCTAGGTGTTGATGTACTAAGTTCTGTTTTTTGTTGTTGTCAATTTGTTATGTAGTAGGTATTATCACGACTGTTCAACTCACTTAATAACTTGTAGTCGTGGATTCTTGTAAATCACTTTATTATTAATTATAAAAAGGCAAATGCTTTGCCGCTTGCCGGGAAAAGTACAAGAGGGAGAGCAAGGAGCAGGGCGGGGGTGAAACATGCCTACGTGAAGCCCCCGATTAGTCAAAAGTGTCAACTGTCAAAAATGGAAACTATTCCGAGGTACTCATAGGCATATCATCTTAGAAAGAGTGTTAAGTCACAACAGCCCCTCTCTCAATTATTTTAAAAACCCATTCTTATTACAGATTTTGTTATTCTAGATGAACGTCTCAAACCTATGTATAGTACACTCAGTATTAGGAGTATTAACATTTTCATGTATGTCGACATTTTGTTGCGCAGTCACTACATCACTTCCTCTGTTAGGATGCACTTCCTCACCATTATTTTCACCATTAACAACAGTAGTTACATTTTCATTCAGACGATTTTCTGGTGAAGCAATTTATGGTATATTAGAATTTAGTTCAGGTTCAAATATTGGTTCTAGTGTCCAATACATCTAATTTGACGCTTCCAAACCCTGTCATCATCCAATTTCAATGAATAATGCAGCTGTCCAAGTTATTTTATAATTGTACCAAATATTCACTTATCTATATGTATGTAATCCCTGACACTTACTCTATCACCATAAATCTCTAGTGATCTGAATTTAACTGTATTGGGTTCAGCAGTATCGCACATTTTACTAGGTTTAATGAAATCTTGTTCAAAGAAAACTTTATTTTTCTTGTTAATCGCGAGGATAATTTTGTTTCTTCATGTGTTTGTAGCCTAATCAATCATTTAGATTCCCTGTACGATGATACTTCATTAGCGCCTTATATTTGGAAAGGCTACGTATGCCATAACAGACTGCATCTTATTAGCTCCTTTGTCTCTTGGGTATCGTGATTGTGGAACAATCTACATGAGGAGGATTTTCCCAACTGTACTAATATTAGGCAGTTTAAAAATCGGATTGAAAAAGTTTCTTTCAAAAAATAGCTGCTTCCAGGTGGCGGTATAACTAGCAGAAGTTGCTTGACGTCGACTTCAGGCCAACTGTATTATTGGTTGGTACTTTTTCGAAAACAGCATTAGTGAGGCCATCAACCGTCAACGGCGACCGCTCTAGATCAATGATAGATCTCTTTTCTCGTTCTAAACGATATGGCCCGGACGATGTAGAATTATTAATGGCCAGTCAGCATGCTGGCATTATGGGCAGGAATATGCCTCTCAGACGTGATATGAATTGGTCACGAAGATCGTGCGATTTAACCCCATTAAAGTTTTTTATGGGATAATCTGCGAATGAGCTTAAATCCACCAGAATGCCATACCAGTGTGCGAAGCCATGTCCGATGTTTGAATGTCGGTATGCTTTATACTTAGTAGCATTACTTTCAAATATGTATAGAAGATAGTTCATCCTTTTCTGTTATTCCTAACCCAGAAGGAGATCCGGTTGCTGTTGAACTTTAATACACCAACAGCATCTGAAAATAGAGACGTCTGTCGAAAAAATATTTACGATGGCTGTTATGCTCCATCCCTAACCTTCTTCCAATAAAGTTCCAGCAATCCTCCTGTTTAGACGGTGGAAGAGTGTTTCAATAGCCTCCCAGTAAAAGTTTTGTCCGAACGGGTAAAAACACTCCTGTCACAAAGCTGGTTGCTTGAAAATTTCTGTTCTCGGGAATGTTGTTTTGATTTTCAAAATATTATAGAATTATCAGTAGTCAGGATTGGCGAATGCATTGGGCAGCCATAATAATAAAGTTCGGCAGTATTCTGATGGCGCACGCAGAACGTCGTGGTGATCGCAAAACTTAACACTGCCTCAATGTTCTCAGATGATCTAATGCGCCGAAAACTCTTGATATCCGGTCTGGAACAGGGGCCAATGAGGTTAAATTAAAGCGATTCAGAGAAGTGCGCTGGGTTGCGATCACAGAACATTTGCTCGAAAGGTATGTCTCTATGGTAAAAGTACGCTCTTCGCTGTTCCAAGGCATGATGGCGACTGAACTGTGTTGGAATAAAGCTTTATACTACTGCCTTCCGCATGAGACCACTAGCTCTGCGCTAAGACATCTATGGACTGTATTGCGCACATTCTGTATCTCATACGTCGCTTTTTCAATTCAACAATTATTATCCATTCTATAGCAAAACCTCTACACCTAGAAGACCGAATAAATACTCTTTTCAATAAAACGACGGACTATAAATACCTTGAACAACCTACACAGTTGGGCAAACTGAACACATATTCATCACTTACGAAATCTACAGAGCATATTAGAGATAAGCAAAATATGGAAGGTGAGAGAATGCATGGGAGGGGAATAAGGGAGTAAAAGTGCCAATCATCATTTGCGTCGCATCGTTAGGGAGCTCTTGGGATGGCGGGTGTTTTCTGTCTACTTCATTTACTCCTTCTTAGGGACTCAGCGCTCAAAAGTGGAAAACAGCGATATACTGGGAATTTATGATTATTCGACCATCGAGGCGGAGAGCACTTCAAGGGTTCAGTATATGCAAAATAGTTAGCGTCCAATCAAGCCCTTTATCCCAGGACGCATTAGCACTTAATTAAGGTACATTGACACTTGGTAAGGACTGTAACGTAGCAGCAGTCGAGTCTGATAGTCCCACTCATAACGCTTTTAATATCCAAATAAACCCACGCTCCTGCCATTGCCAACAGGTGTTTAAGG